TGAGCTTCCCCTTCTATAAAATGGATAAAATAGTCTGTCCTTTCTCTGTTAGAGGTGATTTTAGGTTATCCTTCTGAACACCAAGGTAAACATGTGGCAGTATTAGTACTAGGTAAATTTATATAGCAAATCCACTGCTTTAAATCTACTTTGTAATAGTTTTTCATTTCCACAAAGCACTTAGTCTAAAACTACACTCTTAACAAATCAGATAGATACATCTAGGATTAGTGACTTAACTAGAGTGGAGTAGTAATATGGCCATATTTCATTGATTATTTTAGAATTCTATGCAATTCCATACCTTTTTTGACTCAACTTTAGGAACTGTGCCCTATTATATGGGAACAAGAGGCTAAACAGGGGAAGTATTGTCCTGGTAGAAACAACTATAGTTCCTAATCTTGCTATAAATTACTACCTGCTTTCAGATGTTAAGCCTAAGTAACCCCTTTGCCCAAGGATTTGAGTCAGTAGCATCTTAGCTCCATTCCTCTCCTCTCTTGGCCCTCCCAGACACCATGGTATGCACAGGCTGCTGCTCCTGCCTGGACCACATTGTGACATACCTCTTCAAGCAGCTATCACGAAGCACTAAGAAGAGAACAACACCTCTGACCCAGGAAAGTGACCGTTTCCTGCATATTATGCAGCAGCATCCAGAGATGATCCAACAGGTAAACAACTTGAGGGTGAAGCTAGGGAATTGAATTCTGTCAGGAGAGCTACTTCTGGGAAGGTCCACACATAATATTTGACACCTCTATAACACCCCAGTTGTGAAGATAATTGTCATATATGGATAGGGTCACAGTTCCTGATACACAACTCTACCTTCTATAGTTCATCCTGTCCTTTTACAAAGATGACTCTTCTCCTCCCCGCCCTGGGTAGGACATATGTTTAAAGAATAGTGGATGTAAACTAACCCTGATACATCCAGTTTGATGTAGTCTCCTTTGTGGTCTACATACATATTTTCAAGATGGCTAGTCAGGGTTAAGGATACATGTGGTCATAAGATAGTATGAAAATAACTGGCTCACATAGATCAAATTCAGTACTTTGGCCTTGTAATGATGATGTTCTAACCAACTGAACTAACTTCTGTTCCTCTAGTAGAGATAATTAATGTCTTCAGAAATGTTACAATTAAGATGAAATGAAATTGTTTTTTAGAGACAGGTGTTAGAAATAAGGACATTTAAAGCTTGATACTACCACCAAACCCCACCTACCAAAAATAAATCCATGGAAACCAGAAAAGTTCCATTTGCCTTCATCATGTTCATCTCTCCAACAGCTTATAGCTAGGATATTATATAGCTCCTGAATAGGCTCACAGGCTGCTGTCTTTCTCAACCACACACCAGTCTAAGATTATCTCTTTAGATTCTTGGTTCTTATTACTTCCAGATGCTGTCAACGGTGCTGAATATTATCATTTTTGAGGACTGTCGGAATCAGTGGTCCATGTCCCGACCTCTACTTGGTTTGATACTACTTAATGAAAAGGTAAGAAAGGCACCATGGTTTTAGAATTGTCTGTGAGAAACTTCCATACAGAAACTACACAAAATGCAAAGAGAGAAATTACTGGCTGCCTGATTCCTGCCTCCAGAACACTGCCAGGCTGATCTTTTGCACAAATCTGCTATTACTAATGTGTTTAAAGCCTTCAGTTGGCTCGTTGCCTACCTGATAAAAGTCTGGATTCCAGAAGTTCTCATATACCTGGCACTTTTACCTCACTTGTGCTCATATTTTTTCCTATGCCTGCAATGGTTCCCTCTTCCATTTCCACTTCTTGAAATGCTACAGATTGTATGGTAAGGGCATGATCCAAATCATAGAACTAAACCAAAGATGCTTTACCTTTTTGTGGTATGGACCCACCTGGCAGTCTGTGTGAATGTTTTTAAATACATAAAATTAGAAAGGAATCCCATTACATTGAAATAAAGATCTGTATTTTTTTTTCCCATGCAAATTCAGAGGCTGCCTGAAGTCTTTCCATGAGCCTCAAGTTGGGTAAATCTAAAACTTCCTCATTTACAAAGGATGCCCAAAGCACTACTAGCAGAGGTAGACTGGGAACCTAGCCTTTCAAAATTGAAAGCTTGCTTTCTACTACTGTTTATGGGACATGAATGCTAAGGTGCCTATCGGGGAAGAAACACTTTAAAAATTGTTGGACACAGCAGCCTCAGGGAAGAAAGAGTTGGACCTATTAATTATTTCAAGTTATCCTATATGTAGTTTGTACATGTTTATCTCTCCCATTAGATTGTGAGCTCCTCAAAGGCAGGGACTGTCTTTCACCTTTCTTTGTATCCCCAGTATTTAGCACAATGCCCAGCACATAGTGGGCTCTTAATAAGTGTTTACTGACTACACTCACAACATGAATGTTTCTTTTCATACCCTTACCAAGTTTTAGTCTGTTTTACAGCTTTAGACTGTCAACTCCAAAAGACCTTGTCTTTATTTATGTTTTTATTTTTGCATGTAGCAATGTTTTATACATAACACTTTTTTGTAACAGTTATATAATGAATGAGAAGTTAGTTATGGCACATAGGTAAAGCCTAAACCATCCTTTCTCTTATCTTCTGTCTTACCCACCTAACAGTATTTCTCAGATTTAAGGAACAGTATAGTGAACAGCCAGCCCCCTGAAAAACAGCAGGCAATGCACCTGTGTTTTGAGAACCTGATGGAAGGCATTGAGCGAAATCTTCTGACAAAAAACAGAGATAGGTGAGTATACAATGATGACATTTTCTAATTTGGCAACACAGCTACAGGATTTACTTCCCTTATAAGAGCCTCTCCCTACTCGGAAAATGTTATAAATGATGCTTTTTGGTGCTGGTATTATAGATAGTATTACTTTCCCTAGGTCTAAATCTCAATTGACCCCTTTTCCTTATTTTGAATGCTGGGTAACTAACCCGTCTAGTGGAAGCACCATAATATTGTAGAACTATCTCTGGAAGCTGAGGCCTGCCTGTGTGCTTCTCTTATTTCTTTTAACCTCTCTGTGACCTTAGGTTTTTATAAGCTGGTTTCCTTAGTAAAATGAGAATGTTGGGGAACTCCCAAAGTCCCTTTGAGCTCCAAGATTTTGAGTTCTAACTAAAGTGTCTTACTAATTTTACCCAGCTTCACCTGCATATTTTCTTTATTCTGGACCTGAGACTTAACTAGAACCCTAATTAATCTTGCTGCACAGCCTTCAAAGAGGGGAAATGGGGGCAGCTAGATGGCTCAGTGGATAGAGTACCGGCCCTGGAGTCAGGAGGACCCGCGTTCAAATTTGGCCTCAGATACATAACACTCACTAGCTGTGTGACCCTGGGCAAGTCATTTAACCCCATTGCCTAGCCAAAAAAAGAATGTCAAATGGTCTACTGTCAGTTCTCATGTTTGGATAGGCATTTCTTCACTGAAAAAGGGGGAAGAACATTCTTGAGAGAGACCCTCCTTCCTCCTATAACCCATGCAATTTTTCTCTGCAGGTTCACCCAGAACTTGTCAGCATTTCGTCGGGAAGTCAATGACTCCATGAAAAATTCCACCTATGGCGTGAATAGCAATGACATGATGAGCTGACACCTTACCAGATTCCACCTGTACAGAGCAGTGTCCCTTTGGTCTGGCCCAGAGGGTTGAACAATTCTGAGGGGGAGAGGGTATGGCTGACCCTTGCTCCTCCCTCTGGGGGGGATTACAAAGGTCAGTTTGGCTGTTTTCCCAGGGAAGAGGGGTGTGAGCCTGTGCTCACTGGGGGGCAGGGCACTGCTTGGTTCCTGGGAGGTGGGGTGGGGTTGGGGGAAGTGGGGATAGTGAGCAGGAAGGTATGAGAATCCAGCCCCCTCTTCCTGGTGGAGGGGAAGAACCCCAGTGTCCTGACACAACCTGCCTTGTATAAACATGTACATTTTTTCATAACATTTTGAACAAGGTTTATATTGACTCAAGTTTAAAAAAAAAAGTGTGATTGAAAAATTTTTACAGAGTCTAGTGCACCAATGCTGAAGTGAGGGGTTGTGTATGCGAGTGATGAAAATGTGTATTCTGGTGGCCTAAAGCTTTACTGGATGAGGGTGTGTGAAAGTGCAGAGATATATTTAGTGACAAGTGTAGAGAGAGGCAAAAAAAGTAATTCCAAATGTATATTTTTTCTTATTGTCCGTCCCTTCACTTCTCCCTGAAATTACCACTTCCTGTTACTGTCTTAACCCTTGTTATTAGGAACTCTAAGCCATGTCCAACCAAGCACCATCCCTCCTTGAGCCTCCCCCTGGCCACTGACAGATACTCCAGCTGAAGTGTTTGATCTTGTTCCCTTCTCCCATTTCCCCAGACAGAGGCCTCTTGCTCTAAGGCAGTGTGATTTTTAACTGTATGTTAAATGATTTCTTGGGTCTCTTAGGTATGGAGACACAGGAGCTGAAATTAAAAGCTTATTGCCCTGGGGCTGAACAGCTCTGAACATGGCTACTTCCGGCCAAGTTCCTGTGGCCAATAACTTTTAGTCTTCCCCAGCCCTTGAGGCAGAGTGTGTGTGGATGTGTGTGTGTAGAGGAGTGTATGTGAATGTGCGTGTGTGGATATTTATATATATCTATATATACCCTGTACTCATGAATGTATGAGCTGGAGAAAGTTACCACAATGGAGGGGGTTCTTAATAACAAGGTCTGCCTAGCATGAAATATTTAACATCCTTCTCCTTCTGCCCCTTTTAAAGAAAGAATACATGTTTTCCTTTAAAAAAAAACCCACCATAGTAAACGTTTTTAATATTAAAAACAAAAAATTACCTACAGAGTAATAGAGAAAGCTGTTTGCCTTTTACCTTTCCCACAATTGTTGCTGCTAGTTGTGTGCATCTCTAGTTCAGCTCTTGCCCAAGGGATATATCAATTAGGTTTTATTTTCATTTCTCTTCCCTTGCCCACCCTACCCCAACCCTGTTTAGTTTTTTTTTTGTTTTTCTGTTTTGTGTTTTGTTTTGTTTTTTTGTTCTTTCCTCTGGCGATTGTGTGTTGGGTCCTTTCTTGCGTGGTCAGATTGACGGTTGACTTGTAAGGGTGTTTGCTACATACAGTGTAAGCATTGTGACCGCCAATAAACTTCAATGGTTTCTACTGAATTTATTCTCATCCATTGTTTAAGTGTTCTAGCCATGGGATGGATATTAAAACATAATGACTGATATAATGCCAATAGCTGGCAGGTTACCATTGTAACCAAACGTGCTTTTAGACATTACAGGAAATGGTATAAACTGTTAACCCACAAATGTACAAGAGATATAGCAAAGCTGGCAGCTGTTATATAGTTGCCCTAGACTTAGAGCAATTTAAAGAGCACATACATTTCCAGAACTATTTACTTCTGAGAACACTGAAAAAGAACCAAGAAGGGTAAAATATAAAGAAATGTCCTTTTTATAAAAGTTTCCATATAAAGTTCACAAACACACCCAACAATGTCTTGTATTTTTGTGTATTTTCTTAAGGTATGGCCTATATCCCTACTAGTCACAAGATCAAAAAAAAATTTTTTTTGAGTGATTGCTCCTTGAACAGTTGTGAACACTGCCTCTTTTATACACCCTGAGAAGAGTTTGTGTGACACCTTCAGTGGTCCAATCAGGAAACTACACAGAGCAGATGCCAAATAATGACGCCTCTTTAATCCACAAAAGTTCCTGAAAGTTCTCTTGGCTATCAGATCCAGTGATCTGAATGACTGGTAGCTCCTGCAGTCTTTACCTGGACATAGTGCTGTCTTTCTCTGCTGCGCCGTTCTGCTGAGCACTGTTGTAAACAGCTCTGTTATAACCTTCCCGGTTCCTAGCTATTTCAATAGCAAAAAACTGTATCCTGGTGGCTGGAAAGCAAGGAGAATTAAGTTTCAGACATCCTTTTCTTCTGACAGAGAATAAGAAAACTTTCTCCCTCAACCAAAGGTTTCACCCATAATAAATCTGTAAAGGCCTAAGGGATATGGAGTTTTATATCCTAATAGAAATCCTGATAATAAAATGTATGACATACAAATGGTAATTTCTCAGATAAGACCAAGATTCTGTCTACTGAAAAAATGTCTGTACTAAAGCATCACCATACTCACCAAAGATAGTGTTTTCTTCACTATACCCCTGAGTACAGTCCAGCCTCAGCAGCGTACCATAATTGAAATCTTCAACAATACCACTGAACTTCATGCAAAATGGTCTCCACTTCTGTGGAAGCAAAACCCAGACCAGAAAAATCAAACATACCCATCTACTATGGCCCTACATAGACCAAATCTCTAATGGGGAACAAGCTTACACCAGGATTGAAATTACTGTTCACTGGCAGGACAGAAATTTAAGAATACCTAGGAGAATCAAGCTGTGTTCTTATCCACATGGCTAAGAAAACAGACATATCAATTCTATCAAGCAATGCACCTGGTCTTAAAAGAGAATAGAGCTGGGCATGATAGTGCACACAGGGAACACTTGCTCCTGGGGAAGGTAAGGGCTAGTGGAATTGCTGGAGTCTGGGAGTTCTGAGTTGCTGAGCAGATCAGATGTCTGCACAAAGTCAGCCACAAATATGGTGAATCCCTGGGAGCAGGGAGCCAGCCAGCAGGCTTCCTAAAGAGGGGCAAACAAACCCAATGCAGCAAGGTAAAGTTTCCATATGGAAACAACAGTGGGACTAGACCCATGAACACCACTGCACTTCCAGCCTGAGTCAAGGATTGAGACTCAGCCTCAAAAAAAAACAACGTGGGCACTAGACCCTCAGTCTGTATCAGTGCTCTACTCATCAAATATGTAATAATTATGGTTAACACCAATAATGCTTTATTTAAGTGGGAAAAAGTCAACTAAAGTAACGGAAGTTACAGGTTAAATTTTAGAAATGCAGCCAATTTCTAACAATCTACAGTCATAGGATAACATATATCCAAGAGAACTAAAATGCTTCATTTTAACCTTTTCTTTAAATACTTTGAAGTAAGCTATTTACCCTAGATATGCCAATAACAAGTGAAATAGCCAGAAGGCGAGACCCACATGATCCACGAACCAGAGAAGCAAGCTCTAAATACCTGCAGCCATTCACTCTAACATTTTATTTTTCTCTCGATTCCATATTAAGTTAAATCCATTAACCACATTTTAAATTCAGTCCTTTTAAGATCCTCCTTACTTCTTTAGCTGGCTCTGATTTGAGCTCTTCTGGGTCCAATACATCTATCTTGAGCTTCCCAAAGTTCGCTCGGAACTCTGAATAGATTTGGTCATCCACTTTAGTGAGTCTCAGGAACAGGGGGTCAACTGAAGAAATCAACTGCCAAATAACAGGGAAGGAAACATCTCAAACATAAATTTTAACTCCTAGGCATGATAATGGCATTATTATAAAGGACACCACAATCCCCTTGACCCAGCTCTACTCTATTTCTACTCTAAGATCTTAGATCTAGAGTGGGAAGGGATTTTTAGTCCAAGCCTTTCCTTTTACAGATGAGGAAACTAAGTGATTTGCCCAAGGTCCGAAAAGTAGCAAGTAGCAGAAGTAGAATTTGAACTCAAGTCCTTTCTTCCCAAATCTAGCACTTAATTCTACTGCACTGCTGTCTCCTAGGAATTAGAAAACTTTTTTAGTCACCCATCCTGAGAAAGAATGAGAGAGATAAATACAACAGTTCTTTTCCCCTGCCAAAGCCAAGCTCTCCTTAATCTTTTTTCTGCTCTTTAAACCCTAGGATGAATGCCATCCCAACCTCCCAGAAGGCAGTTACTATAAAATATTTAGCACCATGAAGGGTCTCCTTAATTCCATTTTGAATAGTTGAAATAAAAAAGACTCACATTGTAATAAACCTCAGCATGCTGCATAGCCTTCATGGCCCAAACCATCTCAATGTTAGGCTGCAACACAACAAAGAAGGACAAGTCATCTTTGGGTACTGCTGCTAGCTTGGCACAAAAGAGCAAGCAGCCTAAACTGAAGCGAACACAAGGAAAACCGGGAGGGAGGAAAATGAGGCCCTGCTCTATTCTGGGCAAAAAACTGACAATTAACTGCTATCCAGGATACACCTGAGGACACAGGTGATAACAACCAAGCTGTGCACGCTCGCTTGCGCTCTCTCTCTAGATGCCACAGTTGTCAGAAGTTAACAATTAGGCTAGATGGATGGAGAGTCTCACCCATTACATTGCTATTAACATATGCAAGAGATACTGTTGGGGACAGCCATGTTTATCCAGCTCTTAAGAATGAAAAAGAGTACAGGAATGAAGTAGGTCAACTATCTGCTTAATTCCTTAGCTCTTAAGATTGATTGATTTGCTTGTGCTTGGTTCTTCAACTGTAAAATAAATCTGTGCTTCCATAATTACAAGATTATTATCAAGCGCAACATACAATACAAGCAAGATGTTTTAGATATTTTAAATGGAGGATGAATTGGGAGTAAGGAAGGACTTGAGGAAAGAGACCATTTAGGAGGCTATTAGAATAGCCAGAGATGATGGAGAACTAAACCAGGGAGGGTGGCTACATGAGTGAAGAAAAAGAGGTCAGATGTGAGGATGCTTTGAAAATAGAAACATGATTTGGCAGCTCATTGGAGAGGAGGGATAAGTTCCAACTTTGATGATCGAGAAGATGGTGGTACCCCCAACAAATAAGGGAATCTAAAAGAAGGAAAATACACTGAATTTGAGATGCCTATGGAATATCCACTTTGAAATGTTCAGAGGTCACAGGATGACAGATCTGAATCTGAGAAGAACCTCAGAGGCCAGCTAATACAACACCATTTTACAGTTGAGGAAACTGAGGTCTAGGAAGGTTATAACTTGCCTAAGTTCACACATACAACAAGTGTCAAAAGTGGGACTGAGGCCCAAATCTTCTGATTTCATAATCAGTGCTCCATTTCTCTGTATCATGCTACCTCTCCATAATAGGATCTAAAGCAAATGTTCTTAGCCTTTTTTAGTGCCACGGACCACCTTCTGGCACCCTGGTGAGGCCAAATGACCGTCCCTTTTCAGAATATTTGAAATACACAGAATTACAAAGGAAATCAAACGTATTAAGTAGTTACCAAAAAAATGTTTTTTGAAATCTGTTCATGGGCCCCACAGCTTAAGGATTGGGGTAAAAAGGCATGTTTGCAGGTAGCTGGAAAGAAACTGGCAGAGAAGGAGAAACTGAAAAAGGGGAGGGAATTATCGTGGAGCAATCTGCCTAAGAAGATGAGAGAGCATGGGGTCCGGGGTGCACGTGGGGAACTTAACCTTGGCAAGGATTTGTCATCAGAATCTGTCTTATGGGAGACGACAGTAGAGAAGGACGTCAACGGGTGGTGAGAAAAGAGAAGACGGGCTCAAGGCAAAAGGCCCGCGCGTCGGGTGCCCTCCGGGGGCTTAACGAGCACTTAAGGAACGTGCCCTCAACGGCGGCACTTAGAAGCTAAAGACTGGGGTCGGGGACTTCAACTGACTGGGTGCGGGACACGTGGGGCCGGCCACGGGGGATCTCTAAAGCCTCAGGGCTCTGGGGGGTCCGGCTCGTACTCACGTCGTTGCCATAGGCCTCGGCCGGCAGGGAGACAGCCTGAGCCGCCGACAGCAGCTCTCCGGGGCCCTGCAGAGAGAACAGCGGGAGAGGGCACAGGTCAAGACCCGGTCCCACCCCGTCCCGCCCCACCGGCCCTGGGACCCACTCAGGGGGACCGCACTCACCAGCGCATCCAGGCAGCTACCCCCACTCCAGGCCGCCATCACCGCCCAGTAAACGCGTCCCTCCCCCTAATCCTCCCTCGCAAGCGCCGGTTCCGGGCAGCCACCGGAAGTAGATCCGCGCCGGCGAAGGAGAAGGGTGGAAAGGGGAGGGGAAATGTGTTGGGCTGTCAGTGCGCCTGCGTCTGCGCACGCGCCCATCACCTCTACCCAAGCGGAAAAATCGAAATGGGGAAGAAAATTAAGGAAGGGAGAGCATTGGCCCCCTTCTCCTCTCGTCCTTCTCTCTCTGCTCCCGAGGCAGGGAAATCACAATTTGGCGCAGGCGCACTGGCGAGGCCGTCTGGCGGCGTTTGGGCCTTGGCGGGAGGGGGCGGTAGAGGTTGGAGCAAGCGAGCCTTCAGTGACGGCAAGATCTAGGGTACTTCCGAAGCAGGGTTGCTTATTGGCTTGGGGAATCCTTCCTGCTTAAGGCCATACTTCAGTGACCCGGAAGTGCTTCTGCCGTGACCTCCTCTCGTGGGAGGCTACCTCCCAGCTCGGCTATGCTTCTTTTCCCCATCTCCGGCCACGTCTGCAACCTCTGCATCTTCTTATTCATCTTCTTCTCCTCCGTACACATTTTAGTTCTGGAACCAGAAACCATGACTGAAGCTAAGCTGTCATTGTCCCTGGGCGGGTTGTGTCAACCACGTACTCCCCGTGCTCTACCCTTGTGTCAGTCTAGACCAAAATGCGTCTCCTGCCTACACTCATCTGCAAGTTGTTTTCCCCAGTTTTTGTACCCGTAGACTTAGCACGGTGGAACATAGTAAGTGCTTTTTCATTCTTATACTCCAGAGGATAAAAATAAGTTACATGGTTTTAGTTATTGCTTCTGTTGTTGTTTTCCCAGATCTAGGAGCTCCTATTGCAAATATTACTAGCCCTGTTTTGCAGAGGGGAAAACCGATAAAGAGAATTCTAGTAGTTTGCCAGTGTCGTACAACTACTTAGTGAGTAATAGATCACGGACTTACAAAACAATTCAGCGTTAACATTTGGGAGGTTTAGGTGAAATTAATAGCTGAGAATTAAAATGGTGCCTCCAGTCCTGACTGGCCTTCTTCAAGGAGACAGTACCACCATTTTTAAGACTTCCAATCTACTCAGGACATTCTTTAGGATTAAAGGTATCCAAGGACAGGGTTTTTGAGATCAACAGGGAAAAAAAACCCAACAAACCATGGAACGAAACTTACCATCACCACAAGAGACATATAAGGGGTACCGAGTGCAAAGAATCTTTCAGAAATATTTTTCCATTTATTAAGTTAAACCTTTCCAAAAGAAATTTTTAAAAATTAACATTTATTTTTAAAAATTGAGTTCCAAAATCTCTTCTGTCCTCCTGGCCCTCCCCCATACCTGGAGAAGGCAAGCAGTATGATAGCGATTATATATGTGAAATCATGCAAAATGTATTCCATACTGAACATATTGAAAAAGTTAAAAACACCAAGAAAAAAATTGAAAAGTATGCTTCAATCTGGGGTGTAAAGAATCTTCCACTGGACCTCAGGAGACCCAACATTAACTATACGCCCTGTAAATATAACTGAAAATCATGTAACTTGTCAGTCTCATTTGTAAAATGGCAGTTCTTCATCAGGTTTCTGTGAGGAAAGTGATTTTTAAATGTTAAATGTGCCATATAAATGTGAGTTGTTATTACAACTCTTCCAAAGACTAGACTTGTATTCTCCTGTTAATCCTTAGCTCTTTGCTCCATAGGTTATCTCTCCTCTGATCTTTCCTCCCGGGGTTTTAAGATAATCCCAGGAGCCTTAGCTTCTGGGACTTCCAGGTTTCCTCTGAGAGAGAGAGAGAGAGAGAGACTACTAACTGCCTCCAGCTATGGGAATGGGGTGGGGGGTGTCATCGGTTGTTGGTAGAACTGATTCTCTTCTTCATATTCCAGCCCTTTAGGAAAAGGGCCTCATTATTCAGGTCAGAATCCTTGGCCCTAGAGAGGAGTTTGCTCATCAGCTGAGTTACAAACTAGGACCTCACTGGGTGTAGTCAGCACTAAGTAGCCAACAGAGGCTCTAGTTCCATGCACACCCACCACATTGAGGATTGTAGACCAATCTGCCCCGACCTTCTGACCAGATAGACATATTTGATATCTGGAAGAGAGAGATTTGCTCCCATTTGAAAATACCTCTTTTTAACACTCCTGTAGAAAAACAAAAGACTTTGCCTTATGAGTAATTATCTACAAAGATGAGCTTAGCACAGTGCTTGGCACATAGAAGGTGCTTAAAAATGTTTATTGATTGATTATAAGGTTAAGGACTTATCTAGGAGGGGAATTCCCCTGGAAACCATAAGGTCTTGTTGACTTTGAACAAATTCAGACAAATTTAGAGATTAAGAAGAGAAAAGGGAGCCCTAATATGTGGGGATTAAAATTGTCCAACCTACAATAAGAGACTGAGGCAGGGCTGAGACAATGGCCCTTTATTAAAGGGTCCATGGTCCCCTCTAATGAAGAGGACCTCAGATCTTCCTCAGGATCTAAGATGCCTCTTTCTTCCAGGGCCTTTTTTGTAAGGTGTGATACCAGATTTGATATCTGAATGCTCTAAAGGAGTTGCACAAAATACAGAATCCCATTGGTTGATAGACCCTGTTTGAAGGACCAAAAAATGGTATATCAACTAGAAGTGGTATGTCAGCAGGGTTGACATTGGGTTGGGTCAAGCATGAGGGATCTCCACTAACTGGTCATAAGATGGTCACCTGTTCGTGAACAAGAGAGAGTGGTCCAGAGGTAAAAAAATAAGTGGGGGGAGGGCAGTTAGGTGGTGTAGTTGATAGAGCACCAGACCTGGAGTCAGGAGGACCTGAGGTCAAATCCAGCCTCAGACACATGACACTCACTAGCTGTGTGACTCTGGGTAAGTCACTTAACTCCAATTGCCTCAAAAATAAAATAAAATAAAATAAATAACTTGGGGGACTTTCCATGTAATTGAGTCATAGCCATGCTGGGCTTGGTAACCATAACAAGGAAAAACAAGGTTGGAGGGCCTCTAGTTAGCTTCCTATGATTAAGCAAGTGAACCTAAAATCTGCAGCTCACAGTTCTGGGGCCTAATACACAAACCTATAATCATTATCCCTATGGAATCATAGCAAACTGACTAATACTGATTGGAATAGAGTAGGGGTTCAAATGAATTATTTCTCACATTCTCCCCTCCCCCCTTTCGATTCACAGAAAGACCTTAATCTTTCTGTGAATCAATACAGTCAAATCGATACAGGGCAGTCTTCCATGGGCGATGCAAAACCAGAAGGGAATAGTCCCGTTACTGAGGCACAAAGGTGACATTAGAAAAGAGGGAAATTGGCACAACTTATACAGATCATGTTTCATTTGATTAAACATTAACTAAAAATACACTAAATATACAATAAATGTCTGAGGTGACTCTCACTGACCAAGAACCACAAGGTTCTTGTCAGGTACCTCCTAGTAATACTTGCCCTACAAGACAGGTAAATCAGGGGACAAACCAGGCATTCATTCATTCAAGAGCAGCAGTGCAAGCATTGTTTGCCTTACACACGGGTTCTGGAAATCTTTTCAATTTATGAAAATGATTCAAGAGGGGGCAGAGCCAAGATGGTGGAGTAAAAGCAGTGACTTGCTTGAGCTCTCCCCCAGATCCCTCCAAATACCTGTGAAAAATGGCTCTAAAGAAATTCTAGAGCAGTAGAACCACAAAAAGACAAAGTGAAATAAATTTCCAGCCCAAGACAGCCTGGATGGTTGATGGGAAACACGTGTTGTGCCAGGCTGGAAGAGGAGCATCGTTCATCGAGGGCTACACAGGCAATGATGGGGCCTTAAGAAACCTGGAGCAGGCCTCAGGGGACTGAATCAAGGGGAGCTATGGCAGTTTCCAGACTTCTCAACCCACAAACACCAAAGACAACTTAGAAGGTCAGTAGGAAAGGTCTTTCAGACTTTGGTGAGAGAGGAGCTTGGTCTGGCCCCAGTCCTAGTGCAGCCCCAGGGCCACCACTGCTTCTGGTGCTCTCGGCCCACAGATGGAGTGGGGACCAAGCAGCTGATCAGAGAGGGATTGCAGGGATCTCTTTGCTGGTGTTGAGGCAGGATTCCCTTGCTTTGCCCCTGCTTGGATCTGAGTTGCAGTCCTGGGTGCCAGTCCTGGAGTGAGGAGGAGCACTACAACAGTGGAGCTTGTGGCAGCAGTGAAGAGAGAATTGTTCTAACAGTTCCAAGGCAGAAAAGAGTGCTTGTGGTCACTCATAGACCAGAGCACAGGCCAGGAAAGGAGTAAACACCCCACCTTTGATCATTCCATCTTGGAAGAACTGAAAATTTATAGGTCCCTAGAAGTATCTCTGAAAACAGCTGCACAAAACCCTTGAAGCTTGGGACAGTACATTCTTCACACTGGAAACAGACCTTAACAAAGAGTTTAATAGTCAAGTAATTGGCTGGGAAGATGAGTAAACTGCACAAAAAAAAAAGTCAGACCATAGAATCTTACTTTGGTGACAAAGAAGATCAAAACACACAACCAGAAGAAGACAACAAAGTCAAAGCTCCTACATCCAAAGCCTCCAAGAAAAATATGAATGAGTCCCAGGCCATAGAAAAGCTCAAAAAGGATTTTGAAAAGCAAGTAAGAGAAGTAGAGGAAAAACTGGGAAGAGGAATGAGAGTGATGCAAGAAAATCATGAAAAATAAGGCAATAGCTTGCTAAAGTAGACCCAAAAAATACTGAAGAAAATAACACCTTAAAAAATAGCCTAACCCAAATGGCAAAAGAGGTCTAAAAAGCCAATGAGGAGAATATTGCCTTAAGAAGTAGAATTGGCCAAATGGAAGAGGAAGTCCAAAAGATCACTGAAGCAATTAAGTCCTTAAAAATTAGAATGGAGCAAATGGAAGCTAATGACTTTATGAGAAATCAAGACACTGTAAAACAAATCCAAAAGAATGAACAAGAAGACAATGTGAAATATCTCATTGGAAAAACAACTGACCCGGAAAATAGATCCAGGAGAGATAACTTAAAAATTATTGGACTACCTAAAAGCCATGACCTAAAAAAGCCTAGACATCATTTTTTAAGAAATTATTTTCTTGAATATCAGGGAGGAAAACTGCCCTGATATTCTAGAATGAGAGGGTAAAATAGAAATGGAAAGAATCCACCAATCACCTCCTGAAAGAGATTCCCAAAGGAAAACTCTTAGGAATATTATAGCCAAATTCCAGAGTTCCCAGGTCAAGGAGAAAATATTGCAAGCAGCCAGAAAGAAACAATTGAAGTATTGTGGAAACGCAATCAGGATAACACAAGATTTAGTAGCATCTACATTAAGGGACCACAGGGCTTGGAATATGATATTCCAGAGGTCAAAGGAACTAGGATTGAAACCAGGAATCACCTACCCAGCAAAACTGTGTATAATCCTTCAGGGGAAAAGTGTACATTCTGTGAAATAGAGGACTTTTAAGTATTCTTGATGAAAAGACCAGAGCTGAATAGGAAATTTAGGGACTTATTAAAATTGAGAACTGTTTACATTCCTACATGAAAAGATATTTGTAACTCATGAGACCTTTCTCAGTATTAGGGTGGTAGGAGAGAATATATATAGACAGAGGGTACAGGGTGAGTTGAATATGAAGGTATGATATCTAAAAAAAAAAATTAAGGAATGAGAGAGGAATGTACAGGGAGAAGGAGAAAGAGGGAGGTAGAATGGGGTAAATTATCTCA